TCTGCCTGCCTCTGCCTCCCAAGTGCTGGGGTTAAAGGTGTGAGCCACCCCCGCCTGACTGACCTGTTGCCAAGTTTTAATGAGAATTTTTCATATTTCAGGTAGAAGATGAACAAGCCCCTGACACCATCCACATACGTGCGCAGCCTCAATGTCGGACTCATTAGGAAGCTGTCGGATTTTATTGATCCTCAAGAAGGATGGAAGAAATTAGCAGTAGCTATTAAAAAGCCGTCTGGTGATGATAGATACAATCAGCTTCATATAAGGTAATAAAATAGGCTGTTTATTTTTCCTTTTCAGTCCTTCGTGTCATAAGAAGGATGCAGGCACAAACACTGGCTAATGTAACTGCCTCTTCTCATCTTAGCATGATTTAGTAGAAAATACAAAATCAGATTTAAATTTCATACTGTATTTTGCAGTTAAAACTCATTGCCAAGATTTGTCTGACATAGAAGGAAGAAAATAAATTATTCTTTTTTAAATCAATCTGGTGAAGACTCTATAGCCCGGGCTCCCAAATTGTCCATCCTGCAAATGTCTGACCACGTGGGGGCAGACATCAAAAAGTACGAGAGAGAAGCCCAGCTTTAAATATGAAAACTAAGTTTTCAGTGATAGTTTGTTGATATTTCCATTAAAAATTGGAGATGAGTTGTTGCAGCAGCCATTCTGGAGAGAAAGGGCCCTTCAGTACTGAGGAGGGACGGTCAGAACAGCACAATGCAGTCGCCAGTGCACAATGGTTCCCACGAAGCTCATGGGGCCCAAAAGCATAGAAGTTTTGTCCACAAATTTTGTGTGCATTAATAAAAAAAAAGCTAACTGCTGTTAGTGACAGGGTCTTTTGTGGTTCAAGGCTGCCCTTGGACTCCTGGTCCTCCTGCCTCCACCCCCTGAGTGCTGGGATGACTGGGGTGCACCAGCTTGAGACAGGTACTTGTCTCACAAAGAAATCGGAAGCTCATCCTCCATCCAAATGATCAAACAACGCCACCAGTCGGGCACAAAACTGCATTTTGTGCCTCTGGGTCCAATGCAGCTGTAGTTCTTTCCAAAAATCTTAGTTTTGATTGAAGTTACTCATTTAAATGTAGTCCCGTAGATGGGGACAGTGATATGCAGACAGGATACCTGGCCTACACTGTAGGGCATGCCCCGTGCATAGAGAGAGGCTGAAAGAGCATTCAGGAGAACACAGATGTGGACAGATGCTACCAGCTGGCCAACTGGCAAATCTAGATGGAGGTTCACCGTTGTTCACTGTGTTATTCTTTCAAAGTTTTGTTGAGTTTGAAATGTTTCCAAGTAAAATTTTTGGAAGAAAACGAAAATGAACTGCTTCAGTTAAGTTTTCAGTATTAACGTTCTTATTTATTTATTTATTTATTTATTTTTGGTTTTTCAAGATAGGGTTTCTCTGTAACTTTGGAGTCTGTCCTGGAACCAGGCTGGCCTCGAACTCACAGAGATCCGCTTGTCTCTGCCTCCCAAGGGCTGGGATTAAAGGCGTGTGCCACCACTGCCCGGCTTTTGTTTATTTTTTTTATATTTTTTAGTTCTTATTAAAATTGCCTATTTTATTTAGTAGGGATTGCATGTTGTCCCTCTAAAACTTCTTGATTTCCAGATCCATTAGATATTGTTACTTCAAGGTACTTGAAGTCCCACACCCACGGGCCAAATCAAGGTCATCTCTCTTCTCTTTCTAGGAACTAAGAATATTGCCTTTGGTTGCTAAAATTAGCCTTCGTCTTACCAGTGTGATAACTGAAGTCCTATCATTCAGAGCATAAAAGCTGCTATTATATAGGCCTTAAAAGAATTTCCTTGCAAATAGTGTGTGCTTAGTTTACACCTAAGTGCTAACATACAAATAGCACATCCCAATAGGAGGAACTCTGATGCACGACTCAGCTTGCGCAAGTTTAAGGAAAATACCCAAAAGTTGCAGAATGAAGTAAAAGAATATTTACCGCAATATAATTTACAGGAGAAAACTGGGTAAAATCCGTTTTTTTAAATTTATTTATTTCTTTATTAATTAATTAAAGATTTCTGTCTCTTCCCCACCGCCGCTAAAATCCGTTTTTAAAAACAGGAATCTGTTAAGTCTTCTGTGAAAATTATTTTGAAACTCTCTCAGCAAAAACTCTCATATTATTTTATGATAAATATATAAATTACACAGGTAGTATGATTTTCATGTCTGAGATGTGTGCACTATGGAAAACATCTTGAAAACAAAGTGTTTACTGCGGTTATTTTTTAGCAGTGCAGGCCTTCATGAACTATCCCTTTTCTGTTTCTTAAATCTGAAGACTACTAAATTACTGCTAAAACTTCATTGCACTGAGAGGTAAAATTTGAGTCCTCTGCATTCTATTTAGTAAAAATGTATTTTAAATGTAAAGACTTATGATAAAGGCACTATAAAAAGAAAAAGATTGATAAATTTTATGTCTTCAATTACACTTTTCTGAATGCAAGTGCATATCTGAACATAGTATCAGATGTTTATCAACAACCCAGACAATTCAAAATCTGTCGCTTGTCTGTTTCCATCCCAGAATTTCCTATTTTCTGTAAGATTTTTTTTTCTTTGATTTATGTGTGTGTTTGTGTGAATGTTTGCCTCGTGCAAGGAGAGGTCAGAAGAGGACACTGGATCCCATGGTGCAGACTGCAGGCAGTTGTGAGCTTTCCATTCTGAGCGCTGGGAACCGAACCTAGGCTATCTGGAAGAACGGGAAGTGCTTTTAACCCCTGAGCCATCTCACCAGCCCCAAAGTTCACATATATTCAATGCACATTTACACACACACAGGAGACAATTGTTTTATTAATGCAGAATGTGCTGTTTGCTATGTAATTCGTTAGTTAATATTGATTTTAAGGATAAGCTGGCTCTGCTATCATTCTGCGTTTTAACCTTCGGCTTTACTAGAAAGCAACACCGTATTACCTCTCTGGCGTCACTTTTCTTACGACCATAGATTGATAGGTGATTGCTTTCTTGTCTTTAAGGCCCGCGTAACTGAAATCCGAAGGAATCACACCAAGTTTGACGGCTAAAAATCCAATTGCTTCAAACATCTCCAGATTTTCCTTTTGTAGGGTGAAAGCTGAAACAAAATAATCCCAGATTATAAAAAAGAAGACGTCTTCCATAATTACATTCTTCACAAACGAGCAGTTTAGGGTAACGAGCCTAAAACACACGTGAGGTGTGCTTTAATGAGAACAGAACCTGCACCACAGATCTCAGCTGTCACTCAAAAGCACGTGTTGGCTTGTGAAAGGCACACGTTAAAAATTCACATCCTCTCCCTGGGCTTACATGCGCACCTTCCAGTCTCCACATGGACCATTTCAGACATCCTAAATTTCAACACGCCGGACTCCTGGTTTGTCGCATTTCTACTCAGTCTTCAGAATCCAGTGACATCAGCCCTGCCTCAAATGCTTTTCAGGATCTAAGGCTGAATGTTCCACAGTAAGGACTGTGCTGATTTTACAAACCATCGCATGACTGCCTATAGTAATAGTTGCCAATCATGAAAAAAACAAAGCAAAATGACGGCTGCTGGGAACTGAATGGAAAGCATAATAATTTAATTGATACTAATGTCAGAATGGGAAAATGATTAGATTCAGGAGACTAACTGCAGCAATGGTGGAACAACCATGTAAATGTCCTTTATTCCATTAAAATGCACACTTAAGAATGACGAAAAAGATGGGCTGGAGAGATGAGCAGACATTAAAGACTAGACTCATGACAAAACCTCAAGAATGGATAAAATGGTAAATTGTATATTATATATATTTTACTGTAATTTTTCCTAAACAATTAAAAGGTAGTAAATTTACTACATAAATACAGATATGTATGCGTGCATGGGGCAGAGGAAATTTTAAGATGAGGTATTTAGATGACAAAAGGTCATCTAAGCAAAATTTCTTTTCTTATTCTTGGACACAGATAGCTTCATACTGTCCTTTTAGTGAACCATCAATTCCAACTTCTGTAAAATTCATTTAAACTAATGGATGAAAAATTACCATATCTTGACTCATTATCCCAAACCACTGACACCATTTCGGTAGTATAAAAAGTTAGGCCCCTAGAGCTAGTTAAACCACACGCCAGCAGTTCTCTGCCTATGTTAATCTATGCTTACTTTTTCTTCAAACTAGACGAACTTGTCCACAGTATTGCTTTCCCCACGTTGATATTTGTGGATGCTAAGCTTTACATATATGAAAGATTTCATAAGTCCAAAGGGTTTAAACATTCCTGTGGTCCCAGCACTTAGAGAAGCTAGAGTTTGGGATCAGCCTCCGTGAAGTGTGATCATGTCTAAGTAACAGCTTAGGGTTAGAGGGCTAACCTTGCATGCACAAGGTCTTTGGTTCAATCCTGGGCAACGCAAAAGAAATCTCACCCATTTCGTTATGAATTAATGCAATGTAAAACCAAACCCACATCACTCCAAACTCAAACGTCTTAGAGCAGAATCCCCACGTAGCACAGCCTTGTTCCTGTGCCACACTCAAGTGTACACGCTCTTATATGTCTGCTAAATTAACTTATAAGATATGACCATCGGAAACACTTCCTACCCTCAAGCAAGGTATGTAGACCAATTAACCTGAACTCTGATGTTTCATCAGATCCAGCCATCCTAGGATGTCCTTATAGCCCTTTACGGTAATTCTCAAAATATATTCTCCACCCCAAATCAGCAGAAAATGCTTCCTGGAGGAACTGAGGAAACTCCACGCTAACCCTTCTGAGGCTGAAAACTGGGGCAGGACTCAGAAACCTGTTCTTACAACACGCCAAGCAATCGCAATGCATGCTAACCCATGAGCATACCTGGGATGCCTGATGAGTCAAGTGGGGGGGGGACATACACTACAGAGTATTCTTGTCCCTTCCCGAGGATGACAATATACCCATCTTACTGCCAAATAATTATAGGTGAGATTATTCTGAAAACAGAAAAATTAATACTCTTGAAACCGCTCAAATGCAAAACATTTGCTTCAACTCTATCCATTTGTGACTGTTGGCTGTAAATGTCTTTATTATCCATACTTAAGTAGTTAATTTTCACATTTATCATAATTTGCAAGGCTTCGTCTTTCTCCAAATATTCAGTCCATTTGTTCTTCACAATAGTTCTATGACCAGTACTCGCCTTTCACAAATTTTACACAAGAAAATGATGATTTACAGAATTACCTGTATATACAGCTTTTCTTCTCTCGCCGTCATGACGAGATCTCTTCCCATGTGTGCGTGCTTTCGCCCGGAACCTCACGGTGATGGCTGTGTTTGGCTTCTCAGTGCTGCGATTCTGCTCAGGGAACGACTTGGTTTCCACGAGGTTTCCAAACTTCTTGTTGAGAAAATGGTGCACAGCTTTCCGGTGACCTTTGTCTGTATCCGGTTCAAAGGTAAACGTGGAATTTTCTCTCTTTGCATCCAAATATTTGAAAAAACCAAGTGCTTCTTCTTCAGATACCAAATGGCAGAGTTCTTTATACTCAAGGTTTGGCTTTACAAGGATTTCACTGTTTTTTCCTACAGTTATTAAAAAAGGAAATGTCTGCCTGACTGCACTGTGTAAGACAGCTCTTTGGCTTTTCTCAAGGATCCTACCTAGTGAGAATTCCAGAGATGCTTCAATTGACTCGGTTTGTGACTTCCACGTCCCTTTGACATCACAGGCAAACTGCTCCAGCAACTTATGAGTTTTTTCATCTAAAAGTGAACTTAATAAGTCAACATTTTCTTTTCCGCATTTAGAGGTCACACCGTTGACACTGTCTTCTTCATCCGAGCCGGACTGACGACTCTGGTCACCATCGGCGTACCCAGGCAAGTTAGCAGCGTCTTCGTCACCTTCATGTTCTAAGAAAACTTCTTGACTATTTAGCTTTGGCTTTTTGACAAAATGACTTGGCTCAGATTGTATTTTACTAATTTCATGAACAGATTCGTCAATGGCCTTACTGACTAATTGCCCCTGCTCATCAATCTCGGTAACAATGAAGTCACTTGGGGAGGCTTTTACAGTGCCCAGAAATCCAACATGATCATTAACAAAACATAAGGAACTAAACCTGACTCCACTATCCACGTCCTCTTCCATTCTTAACAGTGCCTACAAAAGAAACAAAACAGTCAGCTACCAGGAATACAGATAAGAATGAAATTGGTTTGTAACATCCACTCAGTTGTCTTCCTCTTAATTCTGTGGTTCATAAAAAAGCACTGATAAGTTATTTTCTGGATATATGTGTATATTCTACTTTCATAGAGCACACAGAATTAACAGTCTAACTGTTTGTGACCACAGGAGTGATTTGCATCTTGATTTCCCATTCAATCTAAGCTTCTATTATCTAGAACTAATAATGACTCAATTTTGAACTGGAGAAATGGCTCAGCAGTCAACCTAACTTTTTGCAGAGGACCCCAGTTCAGCTCCCAGCACCCACATGGCAGCTCACAACCATCCCGAACTCCCGTGCCAGGAGATCCACTGCCTTTTTCTGATCTCTGCTGCACCAGGCACACCTGTGGTTCACATGCATATGTACACACAAAACACATTATACCAAAAAAAAGCAAATGTATTAAAAAATGTTTAAATTTAAAGAAAAAGACATAAAATGGGTCAGTCTCAAGTTCATCTGAAAAGTAGTACCCTTAGGCCCACAGAAAAGAGAGAAGAAAATAGGTTTGTTTTTACAGTGATTGTCGCCCTGGGAGCCTTGAGATCTCCTGGAGCTAATTCCTGAGACACTGCGGTAGCATTTTTATACACTGGAAGTTAGATCATGAGGAAGAGTAAGACAGAAAAGCCTACAGTAAATAGATGTGAGCAGTTCTCCAGAAGCTTAAAGAAAGACTAGTCAGCTGGGAGATGGTGGCGCACACCTTTAATCCCAGCACTCGGGAGGCAGAGGCAGGCGGATCTCTGTGAGTTCGAGACCAGCCTGGTCTACAGAGCTAGTTCCAGGACAGGCTTCAAAACCACAGAGCAACCCTGTCTCGGAAAAAAAAAAAAAAAAAAAAAAAAAAAAAAAAAAAAAAAAAAAGAAAGAAAGACTAGTCAGTCCTGGTCCTTCAGCTTTTTCTAAATTCCCGACACGAAAGACACAAAAATCCCAAGCTGACGAGAGGATATTTCTACTGAATCACCGGCTTCAGAGAAAGGAAACCATTATCGAGTTTTCTTGGAGCGGTGGCACAAGAGCAATTCTACCAGGAACCCCACAGTCGGCACCACCAGCACCATCGCACACAGGGCTGTGGGAAGCAGCTTCACTGCTTGGCGCTTGCTTTTCCCATACTTTACAAGTACTTTGTCATCTTGATCTAAACGACTTAGCAAACACCTGCCCTCCTCGGTCCTTTTCATTGGGCCAAGAACAAATCGCAGCGAACTCTCTGTATCACCATGTCCACGTTTATTTTCTTTAATTGTTAAATTCCCTGCAGTCCCTGCATTCCTAACGGAATCCTAAAGATTTTTCTTCTCCTGTCGTCTTCTCAGGGGAAAGACTTTTTTTTTCTTTCAACCCGATGTATCTTAGATCTTGAGACTAGAACAACATTGCCTGTTTGTTGTCACTGATCTTTCCAAACAGGTTCTTTCCCTTCTACCTCGGTTCCTTTACAGATCTTGTCCCGGACTTTACCATCTTCCCACCTCGTCTCTGGGAACTCCTTCACTGAGACTTCCACCCTCTTGAGCAGAACCTCTCAGTCAGTCACCCACGTGGATCATGTTTCTAGCCCCATCCCACATTCCCACAGCCTCTGCCACTCCGTTTCCACCATCCACTCTTATCATTCTTACTACCAAATTTATCACCTACAGAAATCAATTTCCTGATCAAATCTGTTTTGACATTATTCGACAATTCCAGCTCCCAGATTCTTAGGCATTGTGGTAGCCTTTTGACTATTTCTGTCTAGCCAACTATCATCTACTATGGGTAAGACCCAAGACACCGTATTAAAAGTTAAACTGTACCACAAGTGTTTAAAACCCCTATTGTTACATTTACAACAAAGTCTAAACTACCTACCCTGAGATTTTGTGTCCTGTCTACTCTGCACTGTGATATACCTTCATCCCATCACCCTCTAAACCACGGTTACACTCTCTAACCGCTCTCCTCACTACCTTTGTGACAACTTCCTGCCCAGTCTTTTAGGCTCACTTTCTCAGAGGTTTGCACTGACCAATAATCTAATCTATGCGAACCAGCTAGCCATTTTCTTAAAAAAGAAAATAAAATAAAAAAATAAAAAGATTTAATTTTCTGTACAGCAAATGTTTTTATTATTTACTGTCCATCTTCTTGAAGTTAGTGTCAGTTCCACATGAGCAAGAATTCTACCTCATTCAATACTGATTAGCCCACATTTAGAATAGCACCAAGCACGTAATAGATACCACAGCAGGTCTACAATCAATATCGGTTGTTGGACAAAAACAACTGGAACACTGTAAGAGCTGTTATAGCGATGGGGAAGTTAGCTTTTGTTTGTGATAACCAGAAATGGTATAATAAATTACTAATTAAGTCTTTGAAAGTAGTTCAAGAGCCAGAAGAGGGGCAGAAATACCACACGCAAGTACAAACAAAACGGGAAATAGGTGGTGGGGGCGGGGGGGGGGAGGAATTAACCCGGCCCAGAGCAGTGGGAAGAGGGTAGCAGTTTTGGAGAATACAGCTTAAGTCATGCTATGAGAAATACTGAACGCTCTCTCAAAAGTTGTAATCTGCCTAGTGGAGGTGTTTCTAAAGTGACTGACGGAACGCAGCAGTCAGCTGTGACCAAGTCCACAGGGGTCCACAGGACTCCAGAACCCTAGGGATTCTAGGAAAAGAAAGATCATACGAAGACATTCTAGCTACACGTAGGGGCTGCAGCGACAGCGACGAAGGCATTCCAGCCAAGTAGGTAGCAAAGCAGCGGAATGCAAAGACGGGCGAACCGCGGGGCGCGGGCTGGGCCGGCAGGAGCTCCTCTGCTGCTCCCCAGGGCGAGCCAAGGCTGCGGGGGACCCAGCCCGGGAGATCTTCAGCCCCGACCCGGCTCCCGCGGTGCCCGACACGCCTTCCTCCCCACTCCCGGCCCCGCGCCACCCTGTCCAAGTCGCCCTTCTCGGGGGCACCAGCATCGGATCTTCCACGTCCGCCACTCTTACACCCACGCGTAACCCAGCATCCCACTAGACTTAGCCTGCTCTACCTCGCTTCCGAGAGAAAGCGGTCCTCCCGTGGGCCACAGTGCGCATTCCCGGAAGCCTTCGCCTGCCCAGCCTCCTACCGGGACATTTAAAGGGACAGGCTCCCACTGTGTGGTTCCTCTCCGGTAGAGCAGCAGAGGGCGGAGAGAGGAAGGCGTGGCCTTCCGGGTTGGCCCCGCCCCTACTCTCATCCTCCCGGGCTGCCCGCGCCGTGGTCCTGCACGGATCTGACGCCCTGGGAAACTCCATCACCTTGTCGCAGACGATCTGAAGTCGCTCCGTGACCCCGGCGCGTCCTCCCCTCCCGAGTCCTCGCGGGACCCTGGCGGGGCGCCGGTCGCCTTGTTCAGGAAGCGAAGAGCGTCAGAGAGGAAGTAGGTTGGGCGACCGCGGGAGGAAGGCTGCTCTCAGGTCAAGACCTCGCTGCAGTCCTCTGGCCGGGGATCGGTTTTCAACCGGCTTGCTTCCCCCCAGATCCGAGAAGTGGGTGCACCCCCACAGAGGCATGGGGAGCCCCACAGCCTTTGCGCGCCGGTCCGCTGGTGTCGCGATCTCTCGTGGTGGGGAGGAGAGGAAGCTGTCAGACAGCCTGTCAACCGGTGGAGGGAGGGACAAGAGCAGTACTGCTTGGAAGAAAAAAAATGAGCAGAAAAAGCAAAGCTCTAGAGAGCAAGAAAGCTCCAGTCGCTTTCGGAATGGACACAGTGCCCCAAAATAGAAGATTTTTTAAAAAAAAAAAAAATCGACTTTTCCGTTCCGGCTTTCCAAGGAAGGAACTACATAGTGGGAGACTATCCCGGGAGTAAGCCTTCAAGATATATGCCAAAGAGCTCAGGTTTCTTTTATACTCCTATTTTCATGCTAAACATTTTTGCTACCTGCATGTTCCAGACTGACCTGATCTCACAGGCCAGACTTCGGCCTACATTCTTGCCTTCGTCCTGTTTCTGGCCTAAGCAGAAAACCCTGGTGCCACCTTTCCCTCTCTATATCAGCAGACTCCTGTGGATTGCCCTGCAGAATGCACCTAGGACTAGGAGACTAGCGACACTTCAAACCTTCATGTAAACTTTTGGTGCATGTCCAGTCGCCTCTTCCTGTTTCTTTGTCCTTACTCTGCACCTTGTTGTCCAGGAAACCTCCGCTCTAGGGATGAATACAGAAATATCTGCACTCCCCTCGGAACTTCCACTGTCTCTTCTCTCAACTCAGAAGATAAGCAATTCAAAGGCCCTGATCAATCCCTCATCTCTAATCGCACCTGCTTCTTGCTGTTTGTTTGTCTGTGGAAACGGTTAGGTCTCACACCCAGCACAAAAGGTACTGAGACGTCTAGTAACATATCAAAGCAGATGCTGGCCACCAGGTTCTCCCAGCATCCCTCAGTCCCTACCTTCAGTACCTGGCACACCCTGCCCCCTTACCCTGAACTCTGGGTACTGGGTACCAGCCCAACTACTGGGCTTCCCATCCCTAGTTCCTCTGGCCCCTGTATAACCCAGCCATTTGGGCTATGCCAGTCTCTTGGCCCAGGCCACCACTTTTGGTAGGTAGCTCTTCTCTTGCTCACCCTGCCCCTCTCTCCTCAAATGGCCAGGCTCGATTTGGCCATGTTTACTCTGGACTCTCCCAGATATCTCTGTCAATGCCTGTGGCTATGCCCTCCCTCATAGCTATATAAGCTTTCTCCTCAGCCCCTGAGGAGAAGTCATGTCCTCTCTTTTATTTCTTTTCTTCGTTCAGTAGCACCTCCAAATTCTGTGCTTTCTGCTCATTTTCCCAGCATGCACCACACTGACTAGTGTCCTCATTCCTGTCCTTCATAGAGATCTCAGGAGGCCCATGGGGACTAACCCTTCACAGGGACTAACCCTTTTAAAATTGCAGCCCCTTGCCACCCCATCTGACGCTTCCTTACTTACTTTTCTACCATGGTGGCAAAACACCATGACCAAGGCAAGGCTGAGCTTAGGGATCTAGATAAGAGCCTTTTCCAAGCATAGTGGGACAGTGGGAATGGCAGCCCGCAGACAGACAAAATGAATGAGATAGAGCAGTGGCTCAGAGTTCACATCCTGAACCACAAGCAGGAGGCTGAGAGAGCTCACTGGACATGGCCCAAGACTTGAAATCTCAAAGGCTGTCTCCACTAACTCCTCCTCCTCCCAAACTTGGGAACCAAGCATTCAAATGAGGGAGACTTGTGGGGCCTTCTCATTCAAACCACCATAGACACCATTTAACATACGTTAAGATGCATTCTTAGCTTGCTACCTTCCTCCCCCATGAGAATAAAACTTCTGTGTGTTCTTGTCTCCTTTTTCTCTCTGTTTTTCTTAATGTTTTATTGCCAGGCACCTGGAATAATATCAGTCTCAAATAGGACACCTTTGTGGTGAATGGATGACAGTTTATGTTTCAGTATATCTAAAGGATTTTAAGTTGCCACTGAAGTAAATCACTGTATGAGAAACATAGATGGACGTTGCCCATGGCATCAAAAAGGTCCCTTTGCAGATGTATCAGGGACAAATGGAAGTGTTGTAGGGTGAGAGTCACTGGGAGAGCTATGGGAAACATTTTTGTTTGGGTATAGGGGTCATGCACTCAGTAAAACATTTAAAATATGGCAAAAATATGAGTATGAGAGTATGAGGATAATAAGGAAGGAAGGAGTGATGGAGGGGAGGAGCCAGAGTGGGAGGGAGCCCTAACACTTTACATAGGAGGAGATTTTTATTTTGGGGTATGTGTGTGTGTGTGTGTGTGTGTGTGTGTGTGTGTGTGTTTTGGTCTGGTCCCAGTGTCTTTGGGCCCCATCTCAAACCAGTTAGGATTTATTCCGTGCCTAAGCAGCAGTTCCTATCAAGAGAGTAGCCACAGAGAAGGGCCATGGATTCCACCATACACAAAACAGTTGTCATGCAGATCTCATGGACTCGAAGCTGTTTGAGGTCCTTGTATGCTTCGTGAAAAGTAGCTGGGAGGGATGTGTCTTTAATGCTATATAAATTAGTTTATTTTTTTACTTTGACCAAAGATTTTTTGTAAATTTTTGGGGGGGAGGGGGGTTGTTTGTTTTTTCGTTTGTTTGTTTGTTTTGTTTTTTGAGACAGGGTTTCTCTGTAGCTTTCGAGCCTATCCTTGTAGACCAGGCTGGCCTCAAACTCACAGAGATCTGCCTGCCTCTGCTTCCCAAGTGCTGGGATTAAAGGCATGTGTCACCACTGCCTGGCAAAACTTTTTAATAGTAGATGCCAGAGTAACAGCTCAGTGCTTAAGAGCCTTGCTACTTCTGCAGAGGGCCCAGGTTCAATTCCCAGCACACACATGGTGGCTCACAGTCTGCAATAACTCCAGTTCCAGAAGATCTGGTGCCCTCTCCTGACCTCTGCAAGCACCAGACAGGCACACGGGGTACATATATACATGCAGACAAAATACTCATACACATAAAGTAAAATTAAATGTTGTTTTAAACTGTGATAGTAAAATGGGTATTAATTGAGAAAAAAAATACTTTAAATTCAAAGCTGTTTCATTTTATAGATTTGATTCCTGAACTTGCTCCCAGGTCTCTTTCTGATAAGCATCTTGCTTTTTATAAATTTCACTCAGAAAATTCCAGGGTCAGAATGAAGTTTTCCAATGTTTGTGGGAGAAAAAAAATAATCCTAGAGCATGATTAGATGACTTTCAGTAGGAGGTGGACTGGAGTGAGAGTCGCTCTGCACTCAGGCGGTCGGTGGTTGGTCCGTTTCCAGCATCTCATGCCATATAGCAATACATGACATATGGCTTCTAAATGCTGTCTCTGGAACTGTCGTAAAGTTGTAGGGTTTTAACTTTTTTGTTTGTTTTTGTTGTTATTTTTATTTATTTATTTAGGGTTTTTTTTGAGACAGAGTTTCTCTCCATATTTCTGGCTGTCCTAGAGCTCACTCTGTAGACCAGGCTAGCCTCAACCTCAGAGGTCTGCCTGCCTCTGCCTCCCAAGTGCTGGGGTTAAAAGTGTGAGCCACCCCCGCCTGACTGACCTGTTGCCAAGTTTTAATGAGAATTTTTCATATTTCAGGTAGAAGATGAACAAGCCCCTGACACCATCCACATACGTGCGCAGCCTCAATGTCGGACTCATTAGGAAGCTGTCGGATTTTATTGATCCTCAAGAAGGATGGAAGAAATTAGCAGTAGCTATTAAAAAGCCGTCTGGTGATGATAGATACAATCAGCTTCATATAAGGTAATAAAATAGGCTGTTTATTTTTCCTTTTCAGTCCTTCGTGTCATAAGAAGGATGCAGGCACAAACACTGGCTAATGTAACTGCCTCTTCTCATCTTAGCATGATTTAGTAGAAAATACAAAATCAGATTTAAATTTCATACTGTATTTTGCAGTTAAAACTCATTGCCAAGATTTGTCTGACATAGAAGGAAGAAAATAAATTATTCTTTTTTAAATCAATCTGGTGAAGACTCTATAGCCCGGGCTCCCAAATTGTCCATCCTGCAAATGTCTGACCACGTGGGGGCAGACATCAAAAAGTACGAGAGAGAAGCCCAGCTTTAAATATGAAAACTAAGTTTTCAGTGATAGTTTGTTGATATTTCCATTAAAAATTGGAGATGAGTTGTTGCAGCAGCCATTCTGGAGAGAAAGGGCCCTTCAGTACTGAGGAGGGACGGTCAGAACAGCACAATGCAGTCGCCAGTGCACAATGGTTCCCACGAAGCTCATGGGGCCCAAAAGCATAGAAGTTTTGTCCACAAATTTTGTGTGCATTAATAAAAAAAAAGCTAACTGCTGTTAGTGACAGGGTCTTTTGTGGTTCAAGGCTGCCCTTGGACTCCTGGTCCTCCTGCCTCCACCCCCTGAGTGCTGGGATGACTGGGGTGCACCAGCTTGAGACAGGTACTTGTCTCACAAAGAAATCGGAAGCTCATCCTCCATCCAAATGATCAAACAACGCCACCAGTCGGGCACAAAACTGCATTTTGTGCCTCTGGGTCCAATGCAGCTGTAGTTCTTTCCAAAAATCTTAGTTTTGATTGAAGTTACTCATTTAAATGTAGTCCCGTAGATGGGGACAGTGATATGCAGACAGGATACCTGGCCTACACTGTAGGGCATGCCCCGTGCATAGAGAGAGGCTGAAAGAGCATTCAGGAGAACACAGATGTGGACAGATGCTACCAGCTGGCCAACTGGCAAATCTAGATGGAGGTTCACCGTTGTTCACTGTGTTATTCTTTCAAAGTTTTGTTGAGTTTGAAATGTTTCCAAGTAAAATTTTTGGAAGAAAACGAAAATGAACTGCTTCAGTTAAGTTTTCAGTATTAACGTTCTTATTTATTTATTTATTTATTTATTTTTGGTTTTTCAAGATAGGGTTTCTCTGTAACTTTGGAGTCTGTCCTGGAACCAGGCTGGCCTTAAGCTCACAGAGATCCTCCTGTCTCTGCCTCCTGAGTGCTGGGCTTAAAGACGTGCACCACCACTGCCTGGCCTAATTTTTAATTTTAAAATAATTAAATGAAAAAATAAAGATGTTTTCCTTTCTATTTAATTAAATATACTTAGGATCAAAATGTAAGCACATTCTGCTTCATGAAGCAGGCTTTTCATTTAAAATTATACAGCTAGAAGACTGACTATGTCATGTAAGGTGCTTGTAAGACTTTGCAATATAGCTAAGTGGCTTAAAAGTATACACTTTGGTTAGAAGAGCTCAGAATTTGGATCTAGACTTGGGTACATTTTGAGTGAGCTGTGTGGCTCACATCTGACTACTCCACCCATCCCAGTCTAGTTGTCTCATGGTAACATTCTCAGCTCTCTCTCTAGAGATATCCTGTAGCTCTCTGAGGAAATGTTTGGTAAATAATATTAACCAGGTGTATTTGGCTGGCATATGTGTATATGTGTATATGGCATATGTGTTTATATGTGCATGTTAAGTGTACATGCTTGTGAAGTCATAGGTCACTGTAATATTACGTTGGGGATGTAATATTAAGTTGGGGACATCACCCCAGCCCTTTAACACCCTTATATCCAAACAGTCTAGAATATAATATTAAGTTGGGGGGCATCACTCCAACCCTCTAACACTCCTATATCTAAGAAGTCTGAGATGACTGGAAGCTCCTAGCCTGGGAGTTGCCCCCGTCTGGTCTCCAACTCCCAGCCTGCCAAGTGCTGACCTCTTTCCCAGGGAGGGTCAGAACCACTCCCACAGGCTGTGAAGACTCTCTCTGGAGAAAGGAATACGTGGTTTTGAGTTTGCATGGGCTTTTCTCCTCACCCTGCTTTCTCGGTCCACCCGAGAGTGCCACATATATTAAACATGGGCATTTGAATTTGGTCTAATCTGGTTTGATTGGAGTTTCTTGCATTGGCAAAGAAGCTTTTATTAAGATTAAGCCAGTCACCAAGAGGTGCCTTGCTCACTCTCGATTCATCTTGGTTTTTGAGACGGGGTATCTCACAGAGCCGGAGCTTATGAATTCATCTAGACTATGTAAACAGTGAGCATCAGGGATATGCTCATCACTGCCTGTCCAGTCCAGTATCAGAGCAGGTGCCCTGCACTGGCTCTTTGCCTGGATGCTGGGGAACTCAGGTCCTCGGTCTTCATACTGACAATGGCAAGTGTTTTACCAGCTGAGCTATCCTCCCCCCCGCCCCAAAAGTTAGCTTACATTTGTTTAAAGTTCTTTATTTTATTCTATGACTATGCATGCTTTGCCTACATGTATGTGTTTGTACCACATGCGTGTCCAAGCCCGTGGAGGGCAGAAGATGGTTTTAGATCCCCTGGAACTGGAAATACAGGTGGTTGTGAACTGCCCTGAGGATGCTGGGAACCAAATCCTGGTCTTTTGTAAACCACCGAGCATGCCTCCAAGCCCAGTTGTTACCTTGAATTGTCATCATCTTTGGCTCCTTTTCTGCCGTGTCTTTCTCGTAGTTGGGGTTCCTATCAGTTCTTTCCCACTCCCGCCCCTTTGAGGGGGATGCGAGAGTGGCCCATCAGATCCTATGTTCAGATGAATTCTCCTTGTGTGCTAGTTTTGTCTCTTGCTTTTCAGGAGATTCGAAGCCTTACTCCAAACTGGGAAAAGCCCCACGTGTGAGCTGCTGTTCGACTGGGGCACCACAAACTGCACGGTCGGGGACCTTGTGGATCTTCTGGTCCAGATTGAGCTTTTTGCCCCTGCTACTCTCCTGTTGCCGGGTAAACTGGGCGTGGCCACAGTGACCGAATGGCAGAAAGAGAAGTGTTGGTTTTTCCTTTGAGTCTTTAGTGGGATGAACAGACCTGACACTTGAGTCCTCTTTATTCTTTCAGCTCTCCCTAGCTTTTAACCACTGTAGATGCCCGATGCTCTGGGCTGTGCCGCTAAATTGATAACAGCTGAGGGGTGGAGTCTAATCCCCTCAGAGTCAGGTAGTTTTTGTGCCAGGAGGGTTTATTTAGAGGGATGAAGAATGCGTCCTGTAGAATAAAAGAACTTATTCTTTTGAGCTATGTCTCCCTCTAGACCCCTATTCGGCTTCACCTTGAGAGGACTCTCATCACGGCTTCCTCTGTGTTACTGTCCTGTCCTCCTCATCACCCCACTTCTTTCTCTCTCCCGCTAGTTGATCTCGGCCTTTACTGTGTAAGGAATTTCTTAGAGTTCTTGTTAAACATGTAGATTCCTGGACCCCATGTCACACCTTCTGTTTTGTTTTTTTTTTCTTTGTTTGGTTTTGGTTTTTTGAGACAGAGTTTCCTCTGTGTAGCCCTGATGCTGTCCTGGAATTTACTCTGCAGAGCAGGCTGGCCTCCAACTCACAGAGATCCACCTGCCCCTTCATCCCGAGTGCTAGGACTAAAGCCATGCCCCACCACCGCCCAGAATCACACCTTCTTAATAGCACCCATGGCACTGAGTTCAATGTCTAAAATGTCTTTGGTTCCTTCTGCCCCCGGCTCTGTCCTCTGTGTGTGTTTGTGTGTGTTGTTGTTGTTGTTTGTTTTTGAGACAGAATCTCATCTCATGTAGCCCAGGCTGATCTTGAATTTATTGTGTAGTCAAGACCAAAGTTGAACTTGATCCTCCTGCCTCCCCCTTCAATGTGTGCCCACTAGTTGTCTAATCTTAAATAACTACAGTGTTTCCTAATTTCCCAATGGTTCTGGTCCATTTTTATGAACATGATCACTCTTGTCTATTCATCTTTATCACAATGGACAGCATCATACCGGGTATCTCCCTGTGTTTGGTAAGGATGCTGGCCAACATCTAGAAGCTGCATGTGAGTTCCTGGTTGTCTTAGGGCTTCTGTTGCTGTGAAGAGATACCATGAGTACAGCAACTCTTATAAATGAAAACATTTTGTTGGGGTTGGCTTACAGTTCAGAGGCTTAGTCCATTATCATCCTGGCAGGAAGCATGGCGGCATGCAGGCAGACTTGGTGCTGGAAAGGTAGCTGAGAGTTCTACATCCCGATCATCAGGAAGAGAGATGCTGGGTCTGGTTTGAGCATCTGAGACCTTGAAGCCCATTCCTAGTGACACGCTTCCTCCAACAAGGCCACACCTCCTAATAATTCCTCTCCTTATGATCTTATGGGAGTCATTTATATTGAAACTACCACACTGTTTTTCCACAAAGACTTTTTTTTTCTTACACAGAGACTAATTTTGTCTTCTCGTTTGGCAGATGCTGTTCCCCAACCTGTCAGCAGTATACCATCTAGAGAAGCTGCAACAACGGTGGCACAGACACACGGGCCCTGCCATGAAGCAGTCAGGACATCGGTGACGCCTATGCCTAGGCTAGAACAGAGCTGTGGGCAGCCTGACTCCTCAGGCTCAGACGACAAAAGTTCAGCATCCAGCGACACTGGTACCCGTAAGTGATGCTGCCTGTTCTTTCTCACTGGTGGATTTGCCATCATGGTGACTTAACGTAAACCTCTCCTGTGTGTGCAGTGGGCAGAGGCACGTCAGCAGGTTCCTTAGATGGGTGTCTCCCTTTACATTTATGATGATCTATCTATGCATCGACATTGCATCAGGGACTATTCTTTCAGTGACTTGAAGCAACAGGACTTGCAAACGGTCACAAAAACTAAAAGGAAACAAGTTAGTCGGCGTGGTGCTGTACGCCTGTGCTCCCAATACCTGGAGTTCGAGGCTGGCTTTCACTGGATAGCAAACTCAAGCCTAGCCTGGTCTGCATGATGTTCTATGTCAAAACGAAATTTATAAAGAAAATAATTTTTAAGTACGACTAGGGTTTTAGAGGAGTAGACTGAACTTTACCAAATAAGAATTTTGGGTGGAGATGGAGTGTTTGGTACCAAGTTGTCATGATAAAGGCTACGGTCTGTATTTCGTGAGTGTGTGCGTGTGTGTGTGTGTGTGTGTGTATGTGTGCATGTGTGTGTGTGCATGTGTGAGTGTGTGCGTGTGTCTGTATGTAATCTTCAGATTGAGAAAACAGCGGTTACTAAAGCCACATTCCTTTGTTTGAGCACCTCCCCCTTGCCTTCTGATGCGCTAGGTTTCCACAGTTTTTCATTTTATGAGTTGAAGAGCATCACCAATAACTTCGACGAACGGCCTGTTTCTGTCGGCGGCAGCAGGATGGGAGAGGGAGGCTTTGGAGTGGTGTACAAAGGCCACATGAAGGACACGGCTGTGGCGGTGAAGAAGCTGGGAGCGGTAAGCTGTGCTCCCTCCTCCTGTCAGAGCAGGCTGTCAGTCAGCCTTCACAGGTGTATTATCTCCACACCTACTCCCTCTAAGAGGACCCCATCCTAAGCCTATCTCTCATCATGTAGGAATCTACTGAGGACTGTGGAGCCTCGCTCTAGGAAAGTGCTTATGGACCCAGACATAGAATCTTGTTTGTAATCGTGATAGGTTCACTAAAATAAGTTAAGAAACTTTTACATCACGATGCTTCATACATAATCTAGATTCAAGATAAGATACTAATAAAATGTTATCTGGATACTTTTGTGTAGTGATGAGGCAAGTAGACCTGCTTTTCATACCGCCAGGCTCCCGCATGGCTAGCTTAACACTCAAAATAACAACACACAAATTGTATTCATTCAAACACTGCCTGGCCCATTAGTTCTAGCCTCTTATTGCCTAACTCTCACATCTCGATTAACCCATTTCTAATAATCTGTGTAGCACCACAAGGTGGTGGCTTACTGGAAAAAATTCAGCATGTCTGACCTGGCGGCTGGCTTCATGGCGACTGCCTCATGTCTTCTACCCAGCATCGTGTTCTGTTTAATCCGCCTACCTAATTTTCTGTCCTATCAAAATGCCAAGGTAGTTTCTTTATTAACCAATGAGAATAACACATAGACAGATGACCCACCTACATCGCTTTTGTATAACATGTCCCATTTAAAAATACCATTTAGGTGCCAGTGAGATAGCGCCATAGCTAGAGGTCCTTTGTTGGGTCCATGTGAGTCGTGCAGAGATGGGGGACAGGCCATCAAAGTCTATTACACCAGAAGCAAATTTTGTTCCAGGTTAAAAAATTAAAAATTAAAAGGATAAATCTCCATGGGGCACAAAAAGCTGAGACCACAGCCAGAGATTGACTGTGGCAATGGGCTGTTTCCAAACTCCCCTTTTTAGAGCAAGAAGCAAGCATTAAGCATGAGCAAAAGAATTTTTACAAGGTAAAACTCAGATATAAATTACCCTTCTTTATCTTTTCATTTACAGGGGGTTTTTTGTTGTTTTTGTTGTTGTTTGTTTGTTTGACTTTTTTTTTTTTTGGTTACACTAGTGTCTGTATTGAAGCCATTGTTCTTCCCCAACTGTCCCAGACAGTGTTTACCACAGCTCTGTGCTTCTTCTGATACTGCCAGTTTTGCATATCAGGGACAACACATAACCCCAAAGTCACATATACCCCATCCTTTAAGGGTTAACTCAGATCACACCTGTTGCTGGTCATGAGCAGCCAGGGGGCTATCTAAAAGCTGACCTTCAGTTTGCAGAAGGCCGCTTCAACCTTGCAGACAGAGCTACGGGTTGGAAAGCAAAGTAACCCACTGTTAATAGTTAATCCTTAAACTGCTAAAAAAGCTGCTAACCTCCACATGTTCACCGTGGCATGTGCTAAATGTGATTTTAAAAATTATACACACACCACACACATATTTGAAACAGGGTTTCTCTGTGTAGCCCTGGCTCTCCTGGAATTCACTGTGTAGAACAGACTAGCCTCAGACTCACAGAGATTCATCTACCTCTGCCTCCCAAGTGCTGGGATTAAAGGCTTACGCCTCTCCTCCGTGCCCAGGGGGAAAAAAAATCAATGCACATTATGAAAAAGGAATTTCTTTCCCTGTCCTTTGTTCCTATTTCTATAAGTTTTTTTTAACCTTTAGTTATTGATTAATTATATTATCAATCTGTTATCTCTTTAAAATGCCAGTATCCTGTGTATGTATCTAAAACAGGCATCCCTTGTCATTCATGTTACAGGTGCTTTCCTAGGCTTTGATTCTCTTTTTCTATTCACATTGGCTTTCACGATGTTACACAGAATTCTTTTTTTAAAATTACACTGTGGTGAAGTTTTATGTTTCATTTTGTTCCTACCACAACCTAGAAAGGTTTATATATTTTTCCTTTCTCTAAAACAGCATGGATCTAGGGTAAAGTACTTGTATTTCTAGATGTCAATAATTCTATAAAACAAATAGAATAAGACTGTGGGGAACAAGTGTACCCCTGTATTAATGAGCATTCATGACAGGAGGATGGCCAGGTCAAAGACCCCAGTGCCTCAGGCTCATGGGAATGGAAGGGCAAGGCCTTTCTCTGGTCTGAGTATGGGTGTTGACCAGTGGTTGGCCTTCAGCTAAAGCCAGACAAGTAAAGGTCTCAGCCTCTGTTTCCTCAGCCCAGGTGAATGCAGCCTGAGGCTGCTCCCCTACAGAGAACCCCCTAAGAAGCACGTTACATAATAAACACACTGATTTTCTGGGTTGCTGGTGTGGCTCTCTCTCACCAAGTGGACCACTTGATCCCAGCTTTGTATTACTTATGTCTGTCTGTTTGTCTCTCTTAGGCTCCTGTGGCTCTCTGTCCTAGGACCCAGCTGTGCAGACAATAGCAAGACATTATTTTTTATTCATTTTACTGTACTGTTATTGATCCCATAGCCTTATATATGTTAGGCTAGTACTTTACCCCTGGAGCTACATCCCAGCTCTCTTCATGTCTCACTTGGAGCAAAGGTCACGCTGGCTAGGCCACCCTTGAACCCCTCTGGAAGCCAGGCAGGCCCTGAACTTGATGTTCTCCGGCCTCAGCCTCCCAGATATCTGGGACTCCAACCCCGCGCCACCAGACTTGGTTTACCATGTGATTTTAAAGTAGGCGAATCACCTTAACCCTTCTTCCAGCTCTAGGGGCCACAGGGTTATTGTATTGTGTTACAATATAAATTTTTCTCTTTCTAGGTGGTTGAAATTAGTACTGAGGAACTAAAGGAACAGTTTGATCAAGAAATTAAAGTAATGGCAAAGTAAGTGTTGACATGTCAGTGTGGCGTGGGACATGGCATGGGGCAAGGAGGCCTGGTTTCGCGCAGATTCGGGTGTGTTAGGATGCAGGGTTGAGGCCAGCACTAATCATTCTCCGATTATATGATCACGTATACTCATATGCCAGCAGATTAAAAGCGGTCAGTGTTTTACATCACAGCAAAGTTTCAGAGGATTTGAAGAGTTTTCTGTTGTCAGGTGTTCTAGAATTCCCGACAAGATCAGTTGTAGTTGATTAAAAAATAATAATAACAACAACAACTATTTATAAATCTGGGAACGATGGTGCCCTCCTGTAATCCCTGCACTTGGGAGGTTGACAGAGGAGTCTGTGAATTGTAGGACAGGCTGTGCAACGTTGCAAGTTCCAAGATAGCCAGAGCTAGAAAGGTAAACTCTGCCTCAATAATAAATAGCTAAAAACTAAAACTACTTATAAAATAACAGATCCTCAGAGAAGCTAAAATTCAGAGGGAACTAAGGGAATATTATATACTAAGATATTGAGAATATGTCGATGCAGAAGGTCGGAAATTATTGGGCTCCGTAAGGAAGGAGACAAGAACCAAATGAGAAAATGTAATGATGACAGTGACTGGCACTTGAGTCTATATGGTATGCTAGTCACTGTACCTTCTGCTTTAAGTTCATGGACTCATTTAATTCCGAGAACAATGAGTACAACCCCCCCGCTTTATTTAAAAAAAAAAAAAAAAAAAAAAAAAAAAAAAAAAACAAGATCTAGAAGTGTGAAATAACTTACCCAAAGTCACGTCACCAGCAAATAATTAGTGTTAGGAATTTTTGGAGATGGCTTCTGGTCCAGATATCGCTAATTCCAGAGCTTTTGATCTGAATCCTAAGGAGGTTATTAAACAATCGCCATGAGGCCACCGCCATCCATCACCCACTCCATTGTCGGCCTCATAAAATGGCTAACAGCCCGAGGTTAGTTCATGTGCAGTAAAAATGGCGAATGGCGCACACGGAAACCCTGTCAACGCTCTCTCCGGACTTGATCTCCTCATCTCTTCCTACATTGTTGGTTCTTCCACTAACTTGAGGCCCAGGTGGTGAAATGTCTGCCACGAGGAAGGCTCTGGGCTTCGTCACCGGCACCTGAAACGGTGCTTGGTGTCACACACTTGCCCCCCTGTCGATTCGCTGCATCCCCAGCCTCTCGCGTTTCGGTTCTTAGGTGTCTCTTTCTGCACCTTGCTATCAGAATGACCAATCCATATGTCTGACCTCTGCCCACTGGGGAGTAAAATGGTAACATTGTACAGCTCAGCAAAACAAAACCGGTGAGCCACCACCTCTGCTTTAGAGACTGGAGTCATTTGATAAACATTATCTAGTTGTATTTAAAATGTGCAAATTTGGTGGAAATGGAGAATTTATCGAATCAGCGTCCACGTCCCAGAGTACGTCTGAGAGCAGAAGTCTGATTTTATCCCAGGGCATGCAGAATTGTAGATGGCACGGAATGAGCAGAACGAGCACGGCCTGAGTGGAGCGTCTCTCATGTGCCGCGTGTGCTTCGGGCTGGCCCAGCTCTTCATTAACGCCCACAGCGTCCGTGTGCCGCGGCTCTGTCACGCCAGCGCCATGCTCTGTATGCAGGGAAGGACTGAGGCTGAGGTTGCCAGCATGCCTTGTGTCGCAGGCCCTGGAGCTGGCAGGACTGCGCTTTCAGCTGAGGCCTGTGGCCTTGTTATCCTGTGGCTTTTGTAGTCATTTCTCTCCAGTGTCACAGAGAACTCAGACTGTAGACAAGCCTGTCCTGGGAGACTCTAAGCATGGCAGGTAAACGTGGCTAACGACGTTCCTGGAGAGCAGCGCCTTGGGTGTGTTAGAGTCGTGTTTGTGTTAGGGATTTGTCCGTGCTCTAAGTTTCCAGGTCTTGAAAAGGCGCTGAGCAAAGATGAGCATCGGCCTCGTCCTGAGCTAACCTGTCTCGGGTTCTGTTGGTCTGATCAAAGGTGGCTGCAGAATCGGGAGAGGTTCGCTTGTGCTGTGGATCAGTAGTACTGAAACAAGAACCGCTTACAGAAAAGAATCCGCAATTTCAATGAGCCGGTTAGCATGTTATGAATATCTGTCACTTTACAGATGACATGCATGTTACATATTACATACACATATTTATGTGATTATCTCTTTGATCTTTCTGCTAAAACTCTTAACTTGAGTAACTGCTAGAAGTATTTGGTCTAATCATTTTGCATGCTGCCTCACTTGCACAGGTGTCAGCACGAGAACCTGGTGGAGCTACTTGGCTTCTCAAGCGACAGTGACAACCTGTGCCTAGTATACGCTTACATGCCCAATGGCTCCTTGCTCGACAGACTGTCCTGCTTGGTAAGACCCCTGTCACCAGACTGTCTCACTTTCCGTTTCTGTGTTATTTTGCTAATGTTCGCATTTGGTGGGGTTCACTGAAACCACACTGAACTTACTGTCCCCTGTTCTGTAAAATGATGCAGTTTATGTGTTGACAGGTGTTGCAAATTTAAAACGCAAAAGCATCGGCAAAGGCCAGATGTTGGCGATGTTCTTGTGCATTTTTATTTTCAAGCGAGGAGTGCAGCCTCCACTTAATCTTATGTGAGATTATTTTTTTGCAAGCTTTAAAAATTGTAATCCCAAATTCTTAGTGATATGGTTAGTGGTACAAAAATGACGATAGAGACTACTATTATGGGTTTTCTTTGGACTTTTTTTTTTCACCTAAACCACTGTTTAAAATCTATTTGTTTCTTCACAAGGATGGCACTCCACCACTCTCTTGGCACATGAGATGCAAGATCGCTCAGGGTGCAGCTAATGGCATACGTTTTCTCCATGAAAACCATCATATTCATAGGGATATCAAAAGGTAACTCTATTGTGAAGCTCCGAAAACCATCTTTAAAGAATCATGTTCTTGCCCTTTTCTTTCACTCTTTGCGTGTTTGTCTTAACGGATGGGGTGAGACTTCTCCCGCCCCTGAAAAGCCCTTTGCACTCCACACACCTGTCATCTCCCTTGTTTCAAGCCTCTGACCTGCTTCCCTGGGGAGATCAGGGTTTTCCTGGCTTTCCGATCAATGGTCTCTCCTGAATCACCTTCACCTCCGTGGATCTTCTTCAGTCCTCTCCACCCTTTTGTTATTTACCTAGTTAGGCGTCTACTTGCTACATGCTAAGCATCGTACATGATATAGTTAGCAGATATAGCTCCAAGCGGAGTTCAACATCAATCACAACGTAATAGAGTTTTTGTGTTTGTTAGTATTTGGTGTTAGTGTAAAGGAGGATTTTGAAGGAAATGGTGTCGAAGCGAAGGCCTAAACAATGAGCAGGAAACAAGGAAGCACAGTTTGAGGGTAGCTGTGTAGTCTAGAGAACACAAGCCTATAAGATGGATGTTAGGAGGGAATTTGAGGGGGCTGGAGAGATGGCTCAGCTGTTAGGAGATCAGCAATTAAGCCACTCCTCCAGAAGTCCTGAGTTCAATTCCCAGCCACCGCATCTCTAATGGAATCTGGTGCCCTCTTCTGGCACAAAGGTGTACATGTAGATAGCACTTAGGGATAAAATAAATAAGAGAGGGAGGGAGAGAAAGAGAGAGACCATGATGAGTTGCTGGAAGTAAAATGATTACAGTGTGACTGGTGTGCAGAAAGTGAGGGGTAGAAGTCATGAGAGGAAATTAAATAGAAGAGCAGGGAGTCAAGTCTTATGGGGCCTGGCAGGCAGAGGCAAGGGTTTGATCATAACTGTGATGAGATGCTGTTGAAAATACAAAATTACAGCAGTGCTTGTAAGCCTTTCCATTGCTATGACGCTTTAGTACAGTGCCTCAGGTTGTGGTGACCCCCACTATAAAATTATTTTTTTGCTACTTCATAACTAGTTATGAATCGTAATGTAAACATCCTATATGCAGGATATCGGACAGTAACCCCCTTGAAAGAGCCGTTCGACCCGCAAAGGGGTCTCAGCTCATAGGTTGAGAACTGCTGGACGACAGTATCGTATTCAAGTTTTTACGAATCACTTTGAGTCGCGCGTAAAGAGCAGTTTAAAACCAGGAGAAATTAATAGATCGCTGTAGACATCTTGGTAGACACAGCTCATCTGAGCAGAAGTGAACAGATGCAAGTGCCTTAGTGTGGCAAGACATGTTTGTATCTTAGCTGTAGAGGGCCAGGAAGAGGGGAGAATCAGTAACAGCCTTGGAACTTACAGCATCCACAGTTGCACGCTGGAATAATTGGGACGTGACTCACTTATATAGAAAGAACAGGAAGAGGTTCCAGCTGGAGGGGGGGCGCTTTGAGAAGGGTATACATTCTGTGTTTGATGTTCTTTTAAGAGATGGAAGTAGCAAGGCTAAGTGTACAGTCTGACATATAGATTTGTAGGTAGAAGTCTGAGCAGAGTGTATAGCACTTGTATGAATATGATGCTTGGAGAGTTATCATCTAATTATTGAAAGATATAGCATAAGAGCCCAGGAGTAAACCCCAAGGACCCCTAAAGTGTAATGACCAAGCAAAAGGAACAGTCCCCAAAAGACATCTAATAAACTATATAAACACATGGGTGGATGAAACCCTATACATGGACCTGCACCTCCCTTATGAGGAAATTTTATGTTTTCATCTTCCTTCAAGATACAGAAAAGAAAGGAAAGCAGTGATCTCTCTCTTGCTGTCATCTAACTGACTGATTTACACACATTTCAGTCTTCTATGCTGCGTCTATAAAATGACACACATTGTAACTAAGACATATATATATATTGCATGTATATATATATATATGCAGATATACATATATATACCTCTAAGAACCTACTGGACCTTGTAGGCAAGAAAAATTTTCTTCCTTCAAATTTAATTTTTTTTTCCAGTGCAAATATTCTACTAGACAAAGACTTTACTGCCAAAATATCTGACTTTGGGCTTGCGCGGGCGTCTGCAAAGTTTGCCCAGACAGTCATGACCAGTCGAATCGTGGGTACAACGGCTTATATGGCACCCGAAGCTTTGCGAGGAGAAATAACGCCCAAATCGGACATCTACAGCTTTGGTGTGGTGCGTGATCGTTCTCTTTATTGGTTTGCTTTGATTTCTTTAGAGTGTGTGTGCATGCACGTGGCACAGAATACACATGCCAAGAGCCAGAGGGCAGCTTGCAGGAGCCGGTTCTCTCCTTCCACCATCTTGGTTCCAAGGGATCAAACTCAGGCTTGGCGGCAAGTGCCTTTAATTGCTGAGACCTCATTCCAGTCCCTGATTATTCTTTTAAAATGGTGAATTAAATTAGAATGTTTTAGTACATGTATTTTTCTTCTCTTGCTTTTTTTTTTTTTTTTTTTTTTTTTTTTTTTTTTNTTTTTTTTTTTTTTTTTTTTTTTTTTTTTGTCATTTTATCATCCCACAGTCAGAAGTGGAGAAAGAGGGGTAAGATTAATGGGGCATCCTCTTAGTCTTCCAAATAGGCTTCATTTATGGAAACTGAACTCTATTCCGTGTCACATTAAGACACAGGGCTGTGAAATGTGGCTACTGGTTAGAAAATAAGATTCTCCTGAGAGCCCCGTAATAACGAACAGACCTGGAGTTCCCAGAACACATGTGCAGTACAACTCTTTGATATCAACGTCCATAGGCTTTATACAGGAATTGCTAGGTAGATTTCTGTCAGAATCTATGCTCCATGACAGTGTTTAGGACAACAAGAAAGCCTTGCCCAGCGTGGTCAAGTCCCTGGCTCATCCACTTTCCTTCTGACTTCCACTTGATGTCTTCCGTGTTTTGCTAATGGATCTTTTTGTCTCCCTAGGTTTTATTAGAGCTAATCACCGGACTTGCGGCTGTGGATGAAAACCGTGAACCTCAATTACTAGTAATGAATCCATTTTTATCAGCCTTTTCCTCTCTTGCTTTTGTGGTCTTAAGTTCACGTGTGTAAATATGGCATGTAGAAATGCCCTTTCTGACCGTGTGTGATGGTGAAAGTACATGCTGTGTGTCCATGTTGGTGGGATGTATTTGTGAAGCCTGAAGAGATTGTTTCTATAGTCTCTGTTCCGGTGTCTTTGTGGCAAAATGAGAAGAAAGCCAATTCACCTATGGCTTATTACTTTCTAGGGTATCCAAACCCTGGGTGGCAAAATCATTTTCATATCATAGGAAAAAACTTATAGTTTTCATTCATATCTGCATAAGAATATAAATGCTGGTAAAAATCATGATGTCATTGTGGAGTGTTTTACTTGAAAAGTTAAAACACTTCCCTCCTTTACTACTATTCCTACCCTCCTCATTTTTATATTGAACATTTGATTGATAGTTTATAAGTAGATGAGTTAAATGATAGCTAAACTTTAGATAAATTACACTACATCTTTTAAAGATATATATAAAAACATGTATCTTTACATATATATCTTTATACATATTTATAAAGAAGATATATGTGATACTTATATATAAGGACATATATGTGTGTGTCTTTGTATGTATCTCTAAAGATATATTATTATTTATAATTTTTTTACATTTTTTAACAACTATACTCCTTTCATCCTAATTTATTTATATGCCCTATTGGTACAAACTATTCAGACAATAGACATTTACTAGATCATGTACCAGAATTAGGATCAGACGATCAGAAGGTATAACTTACTTGTTCAGTCTTGATGCCAGGGCTGGAGAGATGGTGCAGCAGTCAAAAGGTCATACTCCTTTTTCAGAGGGCCAGGTTTAGTTCTCAACACCCATGTTAAGTGTCTGACAACTGCTTGTAACCTTAGCTCCAGGTCTGAGGCCTCTGACCTTCAGAGGTATCTGCATACTTGTACACATAGCCACATACAAAAACACACACATGTATACTGATAATTAAAATAGGACTTTGTCAAAGGGCAACAAAAGTCTTAGTGGCAAAACTAAATTGAGTAAACTGTAGCATGTAAGATTGTTACAAATGTACACCATAAAACAGAAATGTCCATGGTCTGTTGGAAATGCAATATTAAATAGTATATGAAGTATATTTACATTAGAAGATATTTATGAGAATAGTCTAATGGTATTCAGAATGTTATAATGGCAAATTAAAAAAGATTTATGTTAACCAGAAATATAAAGTTTTCTGTCCCATCAGTTACAGGAGATCAAGAGAGAAGCCTGAATTGGAGAGGCCATATTTAAGCTGTTACTATATGGACATAGATAAAGTTCGGGGCAGGTGTTGGATTAAAAACATAAACATTATCTGTGCACAAGCATGTGCACACAAACTTAAAAAAAAAAGCAGACTTCCCCATGCAGTACATCACTTGAGTGTACCCCAAGTCTCAGAAATGGGGCTGCTGTATGCTCTTCTTTAAAAGGATCTTTATTTTTTCATTAATTTTTTTTCATACAATAAAGAAATAAACATTAGGAAAAGAGAGGCCAGGAAGATGTTCAGCATGTAAAGGTGCTGCCACCTAGCCTGACCTGTGACCTGACTCCTTCAAGCTGTCCTCTGACCTCCACCTCCCACAATAAATAAAGCAATGGGAAAATCATTTCTTACAGGAGGGGTTAGCAGTGCAGGTTGGTGCTGGTGGGGAGAACTCTTGCCTAGCTTGTACAGGGCCTTGAACTGGATCCCTAAAACCAGAAAAACAAGACAAACAAAGCCCCACAGGGCCAGAGAAGAGATAAGGGACTAGAGGTGACACCTGTGCTTCCTCAGCTTCAGCTTCTGACATAAAGACCTCTCGGGGTCTCCTACCAAGATCCTCCTTCCCTTCAGTGGGTGTAAAAGTCACCACTTTGGTTTGAATAGAAATGAAACTCTGTGAGTCACAAGTTTGCACTGTGTCATTTAACAGTGAAAGTGTAAAGATCAGGGAACAGTACACTCTGGAGTGCGGGTACTGCTGCGAAGTCCTAAGACTGTAATGTCGGGTACTTGTGATCTGTCTCTCAGTGAGCCTACTTTCCACTGCTGTGTCATTTCACAATCCTTCTTTTGCAAGGGTTTTGGAATGTTATGTTCCACTCCTCACTCGTAATCCTTCCTTTCGATATAAATTTATTTGAGCTACTACAAAACATACCATAAACCAGGTGTCTTAAAGTGACAGAAAGATAACCTCTCAATACAGCCAGAAGTCTGAAGTCAAGTTTTGATAAGCCCACGAGTCCCTCCTGAGAGTCCAGGGAGACTCTTCCTGCCTCTCCCAGGCTCTGGTGGCTTCTGGTATCTTCGGCTTATAGCCCTGTCACTACCGTCTCTGCTGCTGCTGGTCGCATTTTCTTCTTGGTCTTTTTCTTTTTGTCTCATATATATATACACACACACACACACACACAGACACACACACACTTGTCATTGAAGTTAGAGCTTTCCTGGATAACTCAGGATTTACTTACTGTTTTATTGCTGTGATAAAACACCAACCCACCCACTCGTGTAGAAGAAAGGGTGTATTGGTGCTTATGGTTCCAAAGTCTCTTGCAGGGAGATATGGTAACAAGTGGCTGGCATGACAGCGGGAGCAGGAAGCTTGCAGCTCAAATCTCAAACCACAAGCTCAAATCAGAGTGCACTGGAAGTACAATGAGGCCTTAAGCCCTCAAAGCCCATCCCTGCCCCCCTGCAAGTGATAAACCTCCTTCACAAGGCTTCACCTGCCAAGCCTACCCAAACAGCACCACCAATAGAAGACCAATGAGCCTGCGGTGAACATTCCATCCAAACCACTAAACCCAAGTTGACCTCTCATTTCAGATGTCCACAGAGATCGTTTTTTTCACATGAGGTCATGTTTACAGACTCCAGGAACCAGGACATAGGCATACTTAGATACATGCCTCTGGGGCCACCACTCATCTGACTGTTCAGCCCACAGCACCTCTTCCTCCTCCTCCTTCATCGCCCAGTCTCCAAGTCCTTCTTTCTCTTTGGTTCAGCATTCTGAGTTCCTGTGAATAAGCCCAGGGTGTCTAAATGTAGAAGGTGAAACTGTATTCTCAGAAATGATCAGGAAGCTGATGCTCCGGAACTGGCAGGTGCTGCCAGGAGGAATGCGAGCAGTTCGCGCATCACAGAAAGATGGGAAATGTAAAGCAGATGGGTAGGGGTGGAAAGGAATCACACTAATAAATCAGTGATGCCTGCACATGCGGACATTTCCTGACCTAACGTCCGTCCTGCATGGCTTCAATTCCTAAGGAGGTTATGAAAAAATTAGGAAAATAAGAGTTCAGGTTCTTACAAAAATAGATGAATTTAAATCATTCACATTTGCATTCTGATTTCTTTCATTTTGAAGCCTTTGACCAAGTTTTCATGCCCGTTTTTTATAGCTGGATATTAAAGAAGAGATCGAGGATGAAGAGAAGACGATCGGGGATTACACCGACAAGAAGATGGATGACGCGGACCCTGCGTCCATTGAAGCCATGTACGCTGCAGCTAGTCAGTGTCTGCACGAAAAGAAGAACAAGAGGCCGGACATTGCCAAGGTACCCTCTTATATCCACAGGCAGCGAGGGCTGCGGGCCGTTAGCCTTCACGAAGTGTGTGTCTCGAGGCGTCTGCATAATGTTCTTGTATTCTTTCTTTTTAAAGGTTCAACAGTTGCTGCAAGAGATGCCTGCTAAACACGAGTGAAATAGACTATATATATATAATCTATGTATAACACACTCTATAAGCACTCACCCCTCACCTTTTTTTTTAACGTCTTATGGTCCTGGAGACTGAACAAGCACTTTGGCACTGAGCTACATCACCAGCCTGGTTTTTGGTTTTGTTTTCCTAAATGGTCTTTATGTTTAACACGGCAGCATGGTGCGCTGTACTGACAGATTAACGGACGTGTTGACACGCTGTTGCCGAAGAGACAGTAGGAAGGCGGCACTTGCCCCCCCCACCCCTCCTTTGTGTGGAGATCATTTTCCATGGCAATATCATCAAATTACAGCAACTTCAAGATTCAGGAAAACAACACGGCACAGGGGAGACCCCAGAGTTTGGGGTTTTGTTGTTGTTGTTGGCCCTAGATGTCCTGATACTCTCTCTATATAGACAAGGCTGGCCTCGAGCTCAGAAATCTGTCAGCCTGGTCTATATAGAGAGACCTCTGCCTGTGCCACCACCATATAGCCAGAGACCCTGGTTTGAAGTTCAGCAGACTCCTCTAACCTCCTGTAAAGCCCTGGTCCAGCTCTCAGCTACCCTAAACCTCAGGTTTGGCTTTTCTGTTTTGTTAATGAACCCTGTGCTCCTGTAAATAACTCTTCCTATGCTCCTGTACGTAACCCCCACCTGTACATAACCTCACGGCTCCTCCCACCACACAATCCTCCAATACATAACTCCCATACCTCCTCCTGTACATTACCCTCACCCCTGCTCCTGTAACCCTAATTAAACTCATTGGGTCCCCAAGGTAGACATGGGTGGACTCAATCATTCAGTCTGCCTTTGATATCTTAATTTGAATGAATAGATGTTTGCTTGTCTCCCCCAGGAAAAAGTCACACACTTAGTACTTTATGTGGGGCATAACAGAACCAATGATCATCTTGGGGGTGGTACTTGCATTGTCTCTGCTATGTGCAATAAGACAGCAACTGGAGCTGATCTGTCTGAGGGTGGAGCACCCACCCAAGGGGACAATCCTGATGTCATCCCTTCCCATGTGGCAGGAATGGCAGGCTCTTTTGCTGTACTGGGTGGTTTTATGTGTCAACTTGACACAAGCTAGAGTCTTCAGGGAGGAGGCGCCTCAGCTGAGGAAATACCTCGTTGAGATCCAGCTGTAGGGCATTTTCTCATTTAGTGATCAATAGGGGAAGACCCAGCCCAAGATTGGTGGTGCCATCCCTGGGCTGCTGGTCCTGTGTTCCATAAAAAAGGTGAGCTGAGCAAGCCAGAAGAAGCAAGCCGGTCAGCAACACTCCTCCATGGCCTCTGTATCATCTTCTGCCTCCGGGTTTCAGCCCCGTGAGTTCCTGTCCGGACTTCCTTCAGTGATGAACAGAAAGGCTGAAGTGTGAGCCAGATAAAGCCTTTTCTTCCCGACTTGCTTTCTGGTCATAGTGTTTCGTCACAGCAATGGAAACCCTAACGAAGACACTTGCTGTAGTGGTGGCTGCATTGTTCCTGCCTGAGTGTAAAGACATGTAAACAAGACAGCAGTGGTCCACCTGCAGGCGGTGTCTCTGTGAGGAAAGTTCCAGAGAGGCCATCTTCCTGTCGGTATGCAAAGGCATGCCCCTTGATGAGTGGAATCGGCCGCCGACCATTTCATACTACAATGAGAAAAAGGTGCAGATTCTGCCCTCTGCATTATTCTCTGAATTGGCATGTAAAATGAAGAAAAAAAAACGAGACCAGGACAAATGTCCTTTATTGCCAGAACTTGGGAGGTAAAGCCAGGCAATCTCTGTGAGTTTGATACCAGCTAGGGCTAAAGTGTAACTCTCTCTCTCTCTCTCTCTCTCTCTCTCTCTCTCTCTCTCTCTCGCTCTCTTTCCCCCAAGGAAGTGGTATGGCAATGAAGTATAATACAAACAATTCTTATAGTCCAAGGGACTGGAGCTTTTGCTGGACCTCACAGCCAGTTACTAAAATTCCTTGAGGTCACTTAAGGCTGATCTCCTACTGTGTACCTGCTTTCTGAGCCCGCATTTAAGAGAACAGTGTAACAATCAACCTTATTTGCCTTTGGTTCCCATATAGTCTACTTTTACAATCAAAGCAATGAATAGCTATAATCTTGAGTTATCTAGTCTTCTATGTCCCTGACCTAGGAGTAATACATGTATGCTTTGTTTGTTTGTATTGTGATAATCGTTTACTGAAAACAGCAAATATATATTGAAAGCAGTCTTTTGAAAGCGGTCTTATAAAAATGAATATCCATAATCATTGAAGACAACATATGGGTATTGTTTGATAAACAATGATATGTGTAATACTGTTTGTTCTCTGTGTCAGTTGGGGTCAGCTGGAGTAAGTAAGTGACTTGATTTCCTGTGTTGGGGGAGGCCACTTGTTTATTCCCAACTGCCCAGACCCGAAATAATCACTCAGAAACTATATTATTTAAATCACTGCTTGGCCAATCACTTAAGCATATTGCTAGCAAGCTCTTACACCTAGTATTAACCCATTTCCATTATTTTATGTTTTACCACAAGGCTTGTGGCCTACCAGCAAAATTCTGGCTGGCGGCTTCATAGCATCTCGCTGACTCCACCTACTCTCTCTCTCTCTCTCTCTCTCTCTCTCTCTCTCTCTATATATATATATATATATATATATATATATATATACTGGCTGAGAGCAGCTTCTTTATTCATTAGCTAATAAAAGCAACACATATACAGAAGGACTTCCCACACCACCCTTGTTAAAAAAAAAACTGTTAAAGATTTCTGTAAAGTGTCCCCCATTCCTTCCCTGTGCAATACTCTCTGTGCTATTCAGCCCTTTGTTAGGGATAGCCACATAAACACACACAGATATACAGCCATAGAAAAGGGACAGATTCACAAGATGGCATTTAGACAGACACAGATTCAGACTCATACAACAGACAGACAGGGATGACAGAAGACACAGGAAAGCAAAGTAGAGAATTCATAACTGGGCTCCCTGTTGGTTAAATGACACCAAAGGGAAGTGCTGTATTGATTTCTGTCCTTAATGCAACACCAACATGTTGTTGGTAATTGAGTTTATTAATGCATTCACGCTGATGCAGGATGGGCTGCTAGCTTGCCATTTCATATAGCGGGCTTCAAAGAAAGTACAAACTGCATGTATGCTGAATAGTCCTTCCTATGATCTCCACTCTTGGAATCCATGGGGAGAATTTGTCAATGAGAAGGAGGAAGGAATGGGAAATATCCCCCATGCATGATCTTTAATACAGAGGAAGTGTACAGGGGCATAAATAATGACCCAGTGTGATAATCATGGAATATTGTGCTGTTGAACTGTTTGAACTGGAGGAGACTTTTACATGATAAATTAGCTCTTAAAGCTATAGGACAAGAGAGTAAATTGAATCAACCTAGTGTTGTAGAAGCAGAAAAACTAACATAACCACACAACCCTGCTTTAAGACAAAACTTATATGATCTATGGGGGTTTGAATAGGTATGGCACTATTAGGAGGTGTGGCCTGGTCTTATTGGAGGAAATGTGTAGGCTTTGAAGTTTCATATGTTCAAGTTCCGCAAGTGTGGCACACAGTCTCCTGTTGTCTGTGGATCAAGTTGTAGAACTCTCAGCTCCTTCTCTAGCACTATGTCTGTCTGAATGCCTCCCTGCTTCTCACCATGAGGGTAATGGACTAAACCTCTCAATTGTAAGCTAACCCCATTAAGCATTTTCCTTTATAAGGGCTTCTGTGGTCCTAGTGTCTCTTCACAGCAATAGAAACCCTAACTAGGACATAATCCAAGACAGTATGAGGGAAATCACTCTCTGGTGGGTGGCCAACAGGAACTATCATAGATACCTAACTGGGGGTCCCCTGACTACTGTGAACTAGAGGACAATAGAGGAAGGACAGATGTGGAAATAATCGTGCATGAGAAAGGCAGTGTTGCATGCCCAGTTCTTTGTATCAGATAGGACCAGGAGATTTAACAGAGGCCGGTTCAGCGGTTACCTTGAGACTGGTATGGTCTCTAGTGGCTCCGATGAGTGGGTTGTGGCATGTGTCCTTTATTAGGAAAAAGCGCCCCTGGCAAGTCTGAACAGTGTAGACTGATATGTAAACAAGCTCATAAACTAATAAAGCAGTCAAGAGGGATGATTAAAAGAAATCAGACAAAGGGATCTGTGTGGGAACTGGAAAGCAAATTTGAAGCCAGATTAGTGTCAAGACAAAGTTCCTAAGGAAAAAAATGATAGTGACATTCAATAGAGCCTCTGGAAGGCTCAAAGGCCTGAAACAAAAGCTTAATTAATATATAAATGTCAGCAATGTAAATGAAAAAGACTGTTTGTCCCCGGGATGGGAATTAGATATCCACCCCCAACCAGAATAAGCTATGCACACTTCTCTCCTGGGAGGCAATTTTCTGTGCGTGGAAAGTGTTTACCCAACCTAGAGACCCTTCAGTAGCCCAATGTAGCCAATAGAGAGTCAACAACTAGGCACAGCTTAGCCCAGAGACAATCAGATGTGTGGGATGGTAGCAGGTGTGACATGGTTGTGCTTCCTCTGGGCCCTAGGCCAGCCCAGGCACCAGGAGTCAGCCGTAACCCCACGAGCCTGTTGCAGGTGGGGATGCATGTCATCCCTGCGGTAGCACTGCAGCCTGAGGAAATGGAGTAACTCAGGGCACGTGTTTGTGGATAGTGGCAGGTAAACTAAGGAAGTAGCTCCTCTTCAGACAGCCGTACTCAACACTGGACTGTTGAGAAAACAGCCGTTAGAAGAAATGGAAACTTTCGTGGTGTATATGGGACCACACTGTCATTTTCCCTTAGTATCCCCGAAGCTACTGACTTCTGAAATCAACTGGCAATTGGTTAGCATGACGGGTGGTCCCGCCACCATTTGCACAAAGGCTGCACTTCACAGGTGGCATAATGCTAACTTCTGGTTGTTTTAAGAGATTTAGAAAGACATCTGAGAGCTAGAGAGATGGCTCAGTGGTTATGCCCCTGTGGAGGACTCAGATTCTCAGCACCCACATCATGGGGTCTACAAACCACCACCTGTAACTCCAATTCCAGTGGATGTCAATGCCTCTGGCCTCCAAGGGCACTTACAATCACATGTACATACCCACCCCCACACCTACACATAATTAAAAATAAAACAGATTTTTTAAAAAGATTTATTTATTTATTTATTATGTATATAGTGTTCTGCCTGCATGTATGCCTTCAGGCCAGAAGAGGGCACCAGATCTCATTACAATGATTGTGAATCACCATGTGGTTGCTGGGACTTGAACTCAGTACCTCTGGAAGAGCAGCCAGTGCTACTGAGATGTCATATCTCCAGTCCAATAAGGCAGATTTAAAGAAAGAAAAGAAAGGCTTCTGAAACACACCCAAGTACATGGGAAATCAGTTCACACAAGGTTCAAGGGCCACACATAACTCTGAAGTCCTTGGGTAAAGCACAGAGGTCATACAACAGAGTAAGGAGGAAAACGTCCCCCAATAGCCTGTGCTTGTCAGTGTCAAAACAAAGCTCGGAGTTTGAACAGAAGTCCCTCGTTTGGTTGGAAATAAATATTCCTAGAAGCTATACTGTTAGTGGAAATTCCAATGCTGGGGGTAGGGCAGCTCCTGAGCTCTTGGCCAGGGATGCTCTCCAAGCAATACAAGGCAATTTCCACTGCTGTTGGTTTTTCACCAGAACTAGATGATAAGACCCTAATACTAAAGACACCACACACTTTGGTTGTGGAACATGGAGGATGAATCTTCTTGACCAACATTGATGCAACATTCTCTGGGTCAATGAGCTAGCTCAGCTGAAAAGTGCTTATGACTGAGGCTAAGAGCTGAGGTTTGATCCCTGGGACCCACATGGTGGGAGGAGAGACCCAACTCCCTCAGGTTGTCCTCTGACATCTGTACACATTCCATGGCACATGTACACACACAGATACAAAAAAAAAAAAAAAAGGCTAAGGAACTAAATAGGTACTTTCCAAAATGGAAAACTGATGGCTAATAATTTTTGTAAGACACATTCAATATCCTTAGTCGTCTGGGAAATGCAAATTAAAACTCCTTGAGATTCTATCTCATGCCAGCTAGAATGGTAAATATATATCTTATTATATATATAAATATATGGCAAGACATGCTGACAAGGATGCAGAGAAAAAGGAGCCCTTATTCATTGTTGGTAGGAGTGTAAACTGGTGCAGTCACCATGGAAATCAATGTGGTGATGTCACAAAAAGCTAAAATTAGAATTACCATGTGACTCAGGTTGTCCAGTCCTGGGTATACACCTAAAGGGTTTAAAAATACTTGTGTATCCCTGTTTGTCATAGCTTCCTTCACAATAGCCAAGAAATGTAATCAGACGAGATGTGATTGACAGATGAACGGATAATGAAAACATGGCTTTTTGTTCCGATATAATGAAAAAATGAAATCTATAAGAAAATGGATATGAGTAGAATGTATATTGAGATAGTTTGGGCTCAGAACGATATTCTATATTTTCTCTCCTAGCTGGGTTGTAGTTTCTAATTTTCCAATGTTTGCACTTATCTGGGCATGTGGGTAGAGCTCAGGAAATTAGCCAGGAGTCCAAAAGGGGACAGGGAATGTGGATTTCAGGTTGGGAAGCCGAGGGTGGTAAGCGATATTTAAATTAAGGGGAAATAAGTGGAAAGATGGCTCAGCAGGAAAGGCTGTGCATAGCTCTCTCAGAGTACCTGAGTTTGATTCCCAGCTCCCGTGTTGGGCAACTCACAACTGCCTGTAACTCCAGCTCCAAGGGATCTGGCCTTCACAGACACTGCACTTACATGCACACATATTCCCATATACGCACACACATGATTAAAACAAAGATGAAGAGAGCTATTGGAATTGAGGGCATTTAAGTAGGATGGAGGAGGGGGGTTGGGTTAGGATGCAGGGAAAAGTTTCAATCAAAAGTAAGTTGTCAGAAGAAATCCTAAGTAAATCTGATACTTGGCAATCTAATTAAAAAATAAAAATAAATGAGTTTGAGTGGTGGTAGCCTGTGTGGGTGGATAAAAGCTTCTCTTGGGAGCCATAAAGTTAATGGGAATCCCACTGCCAGTGTTGGGTTACCTTCCTCTAAGTTTTGGACCAGAGGCTCTGAGACCCATAAACAATCCCCAGAACTAGATGGTAAGACCCCCTACTGCTGATG